GTTGGATCTGCCCTGCAGGGTCCCATCCTGCACCCTCAGCACCAGGCATTGCCGGGAGCCCTCCAGCCTCAGGTCTTTAATACCCCTGCCAAAATCTCGGCTCCGGCCAGATTTCCAGGAAAATGCCCCATCCTTTTTTAAATCATCCTGAGATTTTTTTGACTCCGGGTAATTTTCCTTCTCCTTGCTGCAAGGGTAGAACCCCAGGAAGGCGAGGATACTGCCCACCCCGCCTCGTCCTTCTCTCTCTGCGACGCCTGGGGAAGGGTTGGGAAAAGCACTTGCACCCTCCCGTGCCTGCGTCCGCGAACTGCAAGGCAGCGTGGAAGGATGGCTGGATTCCCCTTGGCACACGATGCCTGACAGCCCACGAGTGGGAAGAATCATCGCTGTCCCCTCGACACTGGCACTCCCAAGGAGATTTCCTTCCACCGCAGCGTCTCGGGGAAACCACCCCCAAAAATACCTTCCTTCCCAGTGCCCAGGGTGAGGGGCTGCGGGCAGGAGGTGTCCCAGGGATGGATGGTCCCGTGGTGCTCCAGGATGGGAAGCAAAGCTCCTACCCTCCCGGGCTCGTGTGGAGGTCACCAGACCAGGGGCAAAGCAGCAGATCAGAGGATTAATCGGTCGAAAAGCAGCTTGAACCTTCGGGCTGGAGCCTGATTAATAATTAGAGCCTGAGGTCATCTGGCACACAGGGAAGGTGGTGAGGGCGATGCCACAGGGCACGAGCCAGCAGCAGGGCAGGAGGGAGACGTGGAGCAGACTTTACCCCCTTGGAGAAGGGAACTGGAGTCTGGCAAAGCCCAGCTCAAGTCTCCAGCCTCCATGAACCTGGTATCCAACCTTGCCGGGGCAAAGAGACCCCCGGGAGGCAGGGAAGGGTTGCAGCTTCCAGTCTTGCAGGCAGCTTTGTGCAGGGAAACTATCATGAGATACTGCTAAAACTCGTATCTCCTCTGCCCAGAAAATCCTGCCAGCCCAGAAGGTACCAAGAACACACCGTGAAACAAGGCAAAAACAGCTTTAGTTGGGCAAAAACGCTAACTGGAGTGAAAAGGAAACCTTCCTCAAACACAGTTTTGACCCTGGGAATGCCTGAAGGCCTTCGATACATCAGCATCCCCCCTTCACACGGCAAAACCTGGGGTAACAGTGACAGATACAGGATAAAAATCACACACATTGGCCTCAGGCCAACTCTTCAGGTTGCAAGACCACGCTGGATGCGAGATAACGCGTGTCCACACCTTGGGTCACCTGGTCTGCAGCTGGAGACAGAGACTCCAGATGAAATCTGCTCTCAGCCTTCTGGCCAGGGCTTTGTACCCGCATTTGTGCCTGCCTCGCACGCATCCCACCACCAGCGCAGCCTCCCCAACTTTCAACCAACACTGGGCAAACCGAGCAGAGAAGGAATCCCTTGGCAGATGCACCAGGGTGCTCTCACCGGTGCTTTTTTTAAAAAAGAGGTTATTTCTCCGACACAGTGAATCAGTGCTTTATTTTCAGTATTGAAAGAGGTACAAGACCAGCAGTGAGCTCCAGGTAATGAGCTGGCGCGTTGCGCTTTTTATCAGCGCCCTCGTAATGACGGGATTGAGGCAAAATGTGTGCCGAGAAAAGCCTCTAACGTGCCCCCGAGCGCAGCTGCACAGTAACAGTGCTGGCAGCACAGCCTCACCAAACCATTCACGCGTTGCACTAGAGCTGCACCACCAGACCCACAGGTCAGCAAAAGGTTTTGCCGTCTTCAAAAATCCTTGTGTATTGACTTCAAAGAGGAGGATTTGGTTTCTGGGCAGGGAGGGAAGGCCACGAATCAGATGCTGAATTAAGGAGAAATCCGTGTCCCAGCCCTTCTGAGCGCAGAGCGAACGCAGACGTGATTCCTAAAGCCTGAGCTGTGCACAGTGCGGCCCATGAGACTGATTCTGGCCTCCCTTGCACCATTGTACAGCAAGAAGGAACCGTTAGTGCCACTGGGGTCTATAGCACAGTGATAAATCTGGTGTAAGGCCAACTCAGAATCAAGCCCAGAGGACATGAGAAATCTAGAACTGTCTCTACTGCGTGCAAAACGGGTAGAGGGGTAAAATACCTGGATGCTGTCTAGCAGGATCATAAAATCATCCTTGCCCTAGCACCCTGGGAGGGTTTATATAGGGCAATTCATACCATGATCCCAGCCCAGAATAGCACCAGAGATTAACCTAGACTCTGACCCCAGCTAATCCAGCATTACTCCCTGGAAATGCCAGCAGAGTGACTCTGGATTGAATTGGTGTCACGTTAGAATTGGCCCCTCCTGCCTGTGATCTGGAGAGCGTCCTGGCTCGGCTGATGTCAACAGCAAAACCTCCCCAGAGCTCAGCAGAGGCAGGACTGCAGGCACGCGTGCTGCTCTAATGGGCAAACCCAAAAGGACTCAGCAGTAGCTGCTACTGGCAGAGGCGAGGATGCTGGGGAGAACAGACGGTTGAGGAGGTAAGAGTGGGTAAAACGAAGAGCTGTAGCCTTTGCATCACCCCAATTTGTGTGAAACACCCTCAAGCACAGGTCATATAACCTGCTACCCAGCAAGCACAGAGCTTCAGCAACCCCCTTTTCCCCTCGCCTCCCCTGTGCTCCTCCCAGCATCCCAAATCGGAGCAGCTCTGAGAGGGAACCAGTCCAGGGAAACCAGGAGCTTCTTCAGGGTTTCTCTTGCTCCAGGTGCCCCCTTGACCAGATGGTGCACCCCAAGGTGTGAACACAGGATCAGCCCAAGAGCAGTGTGCCAAGTAGAGCAGCTCGCTTACTTCTCCTTCAGGTCCTTGTCTGATTTGCCTAAAAGAGGGGGAGGAAAAATCAGGGCTCGTGTTTCTTGCTCCAGAACCCCCAGCCCCTTTTCTATGGTTATTTTGCTATGTGCAGCTAACATCTCACAGCCATCGCAGTCTGACAAGCAGAACAGCAAGTCATGGCTGGGGACGGGGCCTCCCAAAGCCTTTTCTGACTTAGGGGAAGCAAACAGCAGGCTAACCACGATGGCAAGAAGCCCTGCCCTTCCCCACAGACCCACTCCCTACCCGCAGGGCAGCTGCGATATTCAGAGCTCCCACCTGACTTCTGAGAAGTGAACCAGCAAAGTCTCCCAGCCCCATTTTTGCCACGGCAGGAGCTCCCTGCCCTCACTTTGCACCACCAGCAGAAAACCCCCAACGCCCAGCCACCCCTCAGACACACGGAGACCTGTGGCCGCATTGAGGAGCTCCAGCACACTCTGCATTTCACTGTGGGAGGCCAGGGAGCCCCCGCTGAGCCGCCGGCTGAGCGGACTGATGCACGTGAGATTTGTTGAGGATGCGAGTGGCTCCTCGGCTTATCTGAACAGCCAGCTACACCCCACCGAAAGCAGTGCACTGCACACAGCGTGGCCTGGCTATCAGCAGCTTCCCAAAAATAACTACGTGGGCTGAAACAGCTGCCAAGCCACAGCCTTTACCTTTCGGGACGAACTTCAGCGAGCTGCTGAATATTCAGAAGCGGGACTGCCCCCTCTTTGGCCCATCATTGAGGAATTCGTGGCCGAGCCCGTTGCCACACTTGCCACAAGACACCTGGAAATGCAAAGAGAGACTTCAACAGCAAGCAGTCTTTCTCAGCAGACAGGCTCATGAAAAAAGCCCGTGGGGATTTTTTTTGTTACTTCCCAAGCATTTCAGAATCGGCACCTTCAAAGCCCCCGGTCGCTCCTTGCGCTTGGACACGCTGTCCTCCTGGACGGTCTCGGTGAAGGCTGGCCACGGGGACGAGTGCTCGTACTTCGCACGGCTGGAGAACAGCTCGTGACCACACTTAGCACAGACGTAGATGCCTGGGGAGCGTGGCAGGAGAGGGGTCAGTGCTGGGGGGCAGCCCCC